ACATACATACATACATACATACATATATACATACATACATACATACATACATACATACATACATATATACATACATACATACATACATACATACATACATACATATATACATACATACATACATACATACATACATACATACATACATACATACATACATACATAGGTTAATTGACCACTCCCCATAGGGGCTTTTCAGGGCCAACACCCACCCATCCCACCCAGGGGAGGACATCCACCACACAGTAATCTCGTGCGTGGGAAATTAACGTCTCCTACCCCTAACCCTGCAGGAGACGGGGCCTACGGTTTATTCGTCCTTATCCGAGAAGACTAGAATATCTATCCATTTCTTGATTATAGAAAGGTAGCAAATTCTCCTCACTTATTTTAAGACCATGAGTATTGGTCCGGCCGGAGCTCGAACCCTCGACCTCCCGCACAACACAATCCGGCGTTCTAACCAATTGAGCTAACCGGGAGGCTTCTCTGCTCTGTAAACCTCATCCAGCTGCTGATATATTTCAGAGTGTAACGGCCCATCATTGTGTGTTTCGCAGACATCTTGAGCTCTCCATTAAAGAGGTTTTCTTGATCTTTCCTCCAGCGGCGGACCATAGACTAACTGATGCCGTACTCTTTGGCTATCTCGGAATTGTTTTCGGTAATCCGTTTGTTGCATGTTAATGAGTTTTTCCCTAAATCTTGTGATAAGAATAGTTGTGAACAGTTACTTAACTACACCGGTACCCGGACCGCTGAATTTTCCCAGTGACAATTCTCAATCGATCAGCATTGCAAAAGGTAATGATTTTCGTCGGGTAGCGGTGACTGCCGAATTCACAAAAAAAAGAAAATAGGCAATTATATTCAAAAGCTCCACAGATTATATTCTTGGCCAACTGCAGTAATCACTTATTTTGAACTGTCCAATACATTACAACTTGAATCACTCGAGAATGTTATGAGTCATTGGCATACAAAAAATAAGTTACACGAATTCACGCTATAGGTGCTTTTCAACTTATCAAATGAGCTTTGTGGTAGAAAGACCGAAACCAAAGCTACGCGAAGACGTAATGCAGACGTTGATTTCATGTTGTCACGTAATTGAACTTCATATATTCATTGTATCTGATTGCATATATATGATAATTTCTTTTGTCGGCATGCGTATAAACAAATAAACGTTCATGATGAGGATAGCCAGTGCACCTGTGAAAACTTTCTAAATTACGATAGCTTAGATTCTTTTTTGGGGGAAAATTCCTTAAAATAAATTTCACTATTCATCAATCTTAACCCTGACGAAGATGGATATCTTTTACGCCCGTGGAGCTTTCATTTGGGATCAGACTTCTTATGCATCGGCTATTCCATGGCATAATGCTGAGAAATTTAAGAATATTTTTTAATGTATGTATACCTGCTTAGAATTGCAAAGACGTTACCGCTGTATTACAAGATTCACGGTCAGGCTCATGCCCTGCCACAATGCAGCCAATGAATGAGCATCCTGTGGTTGGAGGGTGGTTGAGATGAGAGTCCAAAGCTTAGGAAGGTGCAACACCTGCCTGCTAACTTCTCGCTTAAAGGCGGGCATAGCCTGTGATTTTAGAGCTCAGTGATGCGAAGGGAAGGTTTCATATTTTTCACTCGAGGGGAGTTTGCTTTCCGAAGAAAATTGGCTCACGAGAGTGGTATTCTTAACCTGCTGTTGTCTCACAATGTCTTCCATGATTGACAGTCAAGTTCGTGCCTTGTTAAAGCTCCGCCAGTAGGCTAGATCACTGTTAGGCCGTGGGGGAAGGGGGGCGGAAATTTTCTGTTAACAAAGCATTTGGTTTGACAAGGGACATTGGTTTGATGTGCATCTTCGTTATAACAGTTTAGCGAATCCAAAAAGGTGCATATACTCAAAAATTAGAAACGAAAGTGGCAAAAAAATAATGCTGTCCTCGTGAATTAAGAAATGGAAGAGAATACTAGAATTAAAGATGCCAAAAATTTGAGGAAAAAATGGAAACAATTATATTTTAATATTCGTAGTTCTTTCCTCGGCTAGGCCTCCTAACCCATGAGGAGAGAAGTTGTTTATTGCGTGTCACGGGATATGACCGTTATTCAGAGCTTAAAGTTGGTACCTTTTATGTTCGTTCTCTTCCCTTCAAGTTTGTACACCAATTTTTACGGCATCGAATCAAGGTTAAATAATCAATACGCAACCTTCTATGTTCAGCGTTTGGCGCTGAATCGGGAAACCCAGGAAAAAGCCATTGATACGTGTGAAATTATTTTTCGGTTAACGGCATTTTACTCTACTACTGCTGTCGCATAAAGACATTTGAGACGGAATCTAAGATTCCCGAATGAATTTTAGTTTTGTGCTATAATTATATTGGTTTTTTAATAGAGGACCGTCGTCTTAACGACGGCAAGGCGGGATAAACTTGGAGCAAAGTTAAGGAACACAAATGGCGCCAAATCTAAGCACGTGACTAGCATGAACGTTTTCTGTCCCATAGGTAAGTCAGCCTACGTTAAAGAGAAACCCTCTAATAATAAAAAGAGTATTTCCTAATTTTTCTCTAATTTGTGGCATTTTTAATTCTGTTCCATTCTTTCGTTCTCGTATAAGTGGCCTCAAGCGAGGAATCTGATCATGGCCGGGTTAATGGGATAAATCTTAGACATTGACAAGGAGGTTTTAATGAGCTCACATTTTACTTTTGTAAAATTCCATGGTCAAAGCCGATGAGAGCAAAATGGCAAATGCAGATGACGGGCCAATGGGCAAAAATAAACGAGAAAATTTAAGAAAGGTAAGGGAGCAGTTGCAAGACATGGATTCAAGGCAAGTCTTACAAAGGATGTCAACAATAAGCAATAAAAAAAACATCCCCTTAGTTTTTACTGGGCAAGACGAAGAACGGATATTAGGGATCCTCGATGACTTTGAGAGAAGTAACAGCCTCGTAGCAGCTTTACAAAAACGTGGTGATAGAGCCTATGACATATTCCGGCAGGCGCTTGAAGAGGTTCATCCACATCTTAAAAATATTCTTCCCGGAGGTGGTGAGTGTACATGTTAAATTTTAGTGCAGCTTGTAAGATTTGCACAAAGCTGTAAGGATACCAGATGATTTGGGGCAGATTTCCTTACAACATTTATGTCCACCTAATCTCAGCTTAGTCTACGAAGAAACCTCTGACATGTCTTATGTCGTTGAAAGACCAGTCATAAAATGTAGCCTCAATTTGTTGACACTGGTTTCAAGGAAATTGATAGGAGACTGAGCGAGAAATGGAATCAGGATTTAGGGATATACTCCAATACTTTAAAAAAATCAAGGAGACGAATGCTTTTTATATATATTAGCTGTTACCTTGTTATTTCTTTCTGCAAGAGTAGTAGCATTCTTACAGTGGCGTTCATATTTATCTTTAGGCAGACTCTTTTTTGACGAAGTCATTGCTTACAAATAGTTCTGCTAAATGATTTAAGATTTTATTTAAACACAGAGATTTACCGTCAAATCTTTTTCATCTTCTCTTATAAGTCCGTATATCTATCTGTGGTAGAAAATGAGGTTGCAGACTTTAAAGAAAAGGAGAAAGAAGGGCGAAAAAAAGCTTCTCGAACAGGTACAGATGATTATGATTTATGATTTATGATCTTAAGGAGGGCTGGTATTTCTTTTTTGTTTGCTGTTTGTATTAAAAATTAGTGTAGCCAGTATTTGTTTGGCTTGAAGAAAAACAAACTACGTGTGTATGTGTGTGATGGAGCGACATCAGTGACCGGTGACCATCTCATAAACAAACTTCAAATGATGCAAGATCGTCCTACACTATCGAATTTTAGTTAAACACTTCGCTTGTAAAGAACTCGACTAATATCCAGTCATCTAGACCTCAGGCTTGGTCGATAACGCATATATATTTCTGATTCACAGCAAAACTAATCTTGTACTTAATCGTGTACTTCATTCTTTATGTTTAAGGTGGTTTCGGGAAAACTTCAACATCAGCAAATTGAGGGTTATGAANGCAAACACTAAAAGAAAGACCTTATACGACTTAAAATTAGTCAAAAAAATTTTTGATAGAAGAGCGCCACGAAATCAGAGAAATAGAGAAAACTCCTCCAACTGAATTAGACGGCTACTGGAGCCAGTTTGTTTTAGCTGCAAGGATCAAGACTGGAAAAGATTATGAACCGTCATCGCTCCGCGGAATTTTGGCTAGTGTTGAACGCCATTTGAGTCGCTACAGTTACGGCAAAACCATCTTCAAAGACAGTGATTTTAAAAAAACAAGAGACGCGCTGGAGCCGAAACAAAAGGAACTCAAGCGGCATGGACTCGGAAACAGACCAAAAGCCACAACGGCTCTTACCGACGACGAAATTGAGATTCTATTTGACAAAAAGTTGCTTGGATTAAGTTAACCGCAAGGTCTATTAAATACGGTGTGGCTAAACAAGAGGTCAGTGGTTCGAGTCCCGTACAGGCCTGAAATTTTTTTCAGGTCTGATTTCCACTATTGCTGAAAAGGATCGTTCTTATATACGTCTCATAACCGCAGTTCACTCATATGTTTCATATGTTTGTTGTTGTTAAACAATGTATGTATACTTTCCAAGTATCTCTCACGAGTGAGCTGCGCTCACTCGTGAGAGATACTTTCCGCACGAGAAGATAAAATTCGTATCCCGGCGCGGGCATTTAATATCCTCTATATCTTTCACGTGTGGGGTAGTGGTGTAGCCATGGTTACTAATATGTTGATGTAGTTTTTTCCTCCTCTTCATTAGAAATTTGACTTTTTGGAACAGAAAATAAAGCATTATTGTCTTTATTTCTCCTTTATAACTTTATATCCGAGTATCATAACATCTTTGTGACAGGCATTTTGCGGAAGGTTTTCAAAGTTTCGACCATGTGCCACATTTTCCGATTTTCACTCGGTCAATTCGCAAAGTCGCTAGATTCTCAGTGAATTTTCGCCCCAGCTCTGTAATCTTATTGGTACTTAACTGCTGTTGTTCGCCAGTTGCGTGTTTTCCTCCTAATGAGTGCTTCTCTTATGAACCAAGAAAAAATCAGTTGGGGAGCAATATGAAAGAGAATTTGGTTATTGTGATAGTCAATCTCACCATCGTTATCGTTAATGTCGTCGTTTTGGTCTTAGACGCGCTATTTGAATTTGAAAAGAGACAAACTTGCTTTAAGGAAAAAGCAATTTGAAGAATATTAGTTTTTAGTCGTGGATACGCGAAGCATAGAAACGACTATGAAAATGGGGCAGAATATCATGTATCACTCACTTAGATGTAAACAAATAGATATGTCGACGACAGACCAATTGATAGCGACCTTCCGAGATTATACAGGAACGCCTCTATCTCATTTCCGAATTAATGTTACGGCCTTAAGATTTAACTCGACCTTTCTTCGAAGGAGTTTTGATTTTAATTAAAATACTCGTCGCAGTCTGCACATGTGTAACCGAGTCAAAGCTCTTTGAAATACTAAAGGTGTAACTATTAGTGAATTCGCTAAATGCAATCTCTTTTCCACGATCATCTTTCGCCATCATTTGCATTGTTGTGGAATATTCCTTGCCGTTCCCGGGTATATTTGGTTTTTAACAAAGCGTCCAGACCACAATCGTTCTGAACTACAATTTCAAGCCCTCACTTTTCTCACTGCGAGCCATCAGTATTTACATCGTTATAGTATCGCTAAAATGAGTAACCGGCGAATTTCTTATAGGGGAAAGCAGGCGTTGTTTTCGTGACAGGCCAATTGTCTCTCATCTGTTTGGTATACACCCCTGAACGTTAAAAATGTATCATGTCGAAGGAACAGTTTTGGTCGAAGTCCACATTTTTGTAAGCAAAATGAAAATATACACATAACGGTGTAGAAGCTGCCTTTGTTTTTTTTTTCTTCAATACTGACATCTCGCGCGCGAAATGAGAAGACTATACGAAGGTATGGAATTCTATTTGACAACAACTCTGTCCACTTTTTTAAAAACCAAATTCATTGGCCACTATGTTAAAAAAAAAAATATGCGAGGAAACGGGCAGGGAATATTTCGAAATAGTGCAAATGCTCATGAAAGTGATTGCTAAAAGACGATTGCGTGACACTCTGTAAGTTGTAAGATGACGTATGTTATCATGTATCAGACGAAATAATAGTTTTCAAAACTTCCAGTCTGCATTCTGTACTCAACATGCAGTCTGCAGTCTGCATTTTGTAACTAGTCTGCATTTCGTTGTGAATTCAGATCATTCGCCCAACATCACCCCAGCAGTTGAAAGTAATACCAAGTGGTTTCAACTGTATCCGAGAGTTACCCATTGAAATTTAACTGCCTTCAAAACTCATTCAAACGCAATTTATCCACGACTTATTCACTGTTTCCTATGATTATTACTTTTTTATCGTCTCTGATTATTCCATATATCTATCTGTGGTAGAATATGAGGATGCAAGATGTCGAGCAAGAGGCAAACCAGCAAGGGAGAAAAAAGTACGAAAACAAGCTTCACGAAAAGGTACAAATGATTATAATTTACAATTTATGATTTTAAGAAAGGTTGGTATTTCCTTTTTGCTTGCTGTTTGCATGAAAAATTAGTGTACGCCTGTATTTGTTTGGCTTGAAGAGAAGCAAACTACGTGTGTATGTGTGCGATGGAGTGACATCAGTGACCAGTGACCATCTCACAAACAAACTTCAAATGTTACAAGATCGTCCTACACTATCGAACTTTAGTTAAACACTTCGCTTGTAAGTGGGAGACGTGGCGGATACGAGGCTTGTGTGCTGGACTCTGGGTTGAGAAGTCTGGACTCGAGACTTGGCTTGTGTTGTATTTTGGGCGCGACACTTGGCTCTTAAAATCCCTCTTTCTATCCAGGAGTATAAATGGGGGGTTAGCAAATTGTCAGGGAAGCCTGATGAAATGCTGCGGGGGTAAGCTTGCGATGGATTGACATACGATGGGGTACTCCGCTCCGGCATAGTGGACCACTAAACTCAAATACGGACTACTTGCTATGCTTGTCATGAGATAGACTCTTAATTCAATTTAGAGATGATTCAGAGACTTATGTGATACGCTTTAAAAGGTCATGAAATTTATTTAACAAATGGAAAAGCCTTGACTTTGCTCTGTTGTGTTGTAAAACACACAGGAAGAAGCTAGAGCACGAAAGAAGTGTAGGCAGAAACACTAGACGCAGCTGAGTGTTTCTCCCCATTTCTTGAGTGCTTTAACCACTTCCTAAGTGGTTAAAGCACTCCGACAGTGAACCATTCCATTGACATTACATTTTTGGCAGTGGTTAAACCAAATAAACTTTACTCATGAAAAGTGCAAAAGAAAGGAAGCTCGTATCAATTTTTGGAATTTGTATAAGAGAGATAGAGGTATGGTTTAAGTCTAAAACGGGACCATTACAGTTAATTTGAAGCTCACGGAACGCTTTTGAAAATAACCAATATTTCAAAATCCAAATATCGCATTTCGTGGCAAATTTTCAATTATCATTTTCGCCATGCAGTATAACTCAGAATCGGCTCAAGTTAACCTCGTGATAAGTCAGCCAGGAGGTACGTCCTATAAGGAATGTAACAAAGGAAAAAATGTCGGTTTCGTCTTCTATCAAATGTTGTAACTCTCTGAACTTGCATAATTTTCGATAATCTCCAAGGTTTGCCGCTATTTGCATCGAATAAACTTGTTGATATGAAGCGCTTAAGCGATCCAATTCTGAAAAGTGGATCTAAAATCTCAATAAAAAACAAATATTAAAAAAAGTATATGCTATTGAAGCGTTAACTCGAGCCTCCTTCAGGAGTTATCGTGAGATGAAAAAGCGATTGTTCATGCGAGGTCGTAAAATTAGTTTTTAGTCGTGGATACACGAAGCATAGAAACGACTATGAAAATGGGGCAGAATATCATGTATCACTCACTCAGATGTAAACAAATAGATATGTCGACGGCAGACCAATTGATAGCGACCTTCCGAAATTATACAGGAACACCTCTATCTCATTTCCGAAGTAATGCTACGGCCTTGAAATTTAACTAGAACTTTCTTCGAAGGAGTTTTGACTTTAATTAAAATACTCGTCGCAGTCTGCACATGTGTAACCGAGTCAAAGCTCTTTGAAATACTAAAGGTGTAACTATTAGTGAATTCGCTAAATGCAATCTCTTTTCCACGATCATCTTTCGCCATCATTTGCACTATTGTGAAATATTTCTCGCCGTTCCCAGATATATTTTGTTTTTAACAAAGCGTCTGGGCCACAATCGTTCTTAAATATAATTTCAAGCCTTTATTCTTCTTACTGCGAGCCAAAGACGCTTAATACAATCGCTTTTCCGCGATCAGCTTTCGCCATCATTTGCATTGTTGTGGAATATTCCTTGCCGTTCCCGAGTATATTTGGTTTTTAGCAAAGCGTCCAGACCACAATCGTTCTTAACTGCAATTTCAAGCCCTCACTTTTCTCACTGCGAGCCATCAGTATTTACATCGTTATAGTATCGCTAAAATGAGTAACCGGCGAATTTCTTATAGGGGAAAGCAGGCGTTGTTTTCGTGACAGGCCAATTGTCTCTCATCTGTTTGGTATACACCCCTGAACGTTAAAA